TATCCTTCTCATTAAACTGTTTTCATGTTATCTTATCTGAATATTAAATATTCATGGAGGAATATTTTATCAACAAAAAGACAGCTGGCTGATAAACCCTCAAAAACTTTACCATTATTCTCATAGTTTACACCAATTCTCCCTAAATACTAGTATAATTGCATTAAATAAAAATAAAACATTTTCTAGCAACCATGACCATGCAGAGAATTAAGGAGTTACAAAATTAAATTTTAGAAGATTATGGAGTAGATTTGGAGATTGAAGTTGTTTTTGTAGTTTTCTTCAAAGATTTCCAGGTGGCTCCACAGCAGTATCTTAAGCAACAGACCACATGATATCCTTTCTTCCCAATCCTGTACCTACCACCTGATCATTTTGAAAATCTCTGACAGGCATTCACAACCCAATAATAAATTAAAGTTGAGGATACCAGTAACAATTGCTAGGGTAGTTTGTTTACCAATTAATTATGCTTGAGACAATCCAATACTATGTTGTAGAAAACAGTTTAAAGTCACATTTTGTAATTTTCATCAATTTCTTCGGGCGTTAATCTATAAATTACATTAGGAAAATATTACAGTAAAATTTTGATTTGATTTATTTACAGTCGCATCAATTACATCGAGTTATTAATACAGTAAAATTTGTATATAGTTATGCCAATTTTTATGAAAACATGTAAAATTGAAACAAGAGTATTAAAACATCAACTAGTATGAAATCCAAGATTAGATAACCGTAATAAATGAAAATGTGAACATAATATTGTTTTAGTAATGGCTGAAATGAGCTAAATTTGTACTCATATTTTTCATTTTTAATTCCTTTATTTCAATTTTTCATTTTAACTTGTATTTTTATGAAAAACACATTTTGGATATTCGAGCGATTCCAGCATTTTGGATATTCGAGTGCGGCGTTCACTTGTTCATGAATTACCCCCCCTCGCGCTGAAAACCTAAGATGCCAACCATCAGAGGCGAAAACCATATCGTTGAAAGTGACGAATGGCAGATCGGCCGCCGGGAATATCTCCATGGTCGTGTTGTAGAAGGACTGGGGGTTCTAGGCATGATTGATTGGGAAACTAGAAATGTTCGACCGGAAGCGTGCCTCAATGACAGAAGGGATTCGTCTGCATTGTTGCAATTGATTTTGCAGCATGTGGAACCTGTCATACCAACTTACACCGGCTTCTGGAGGGGGTACAATCAGCTTGATCAAAACAACTTCATCCATGGGGCAGAGAACCACTCTCTTCACTTCGTGGATCCTGTAACTGGGGTTCACGCAAACGACATTGATTCCAGCTGGCGTCATCGCCTTGGTAGAAGGCAGGGCCGCCGGAGTGTTTGCCGCGAGGACGTGGCTATGCTCTTGGCTGAGTGTTAATGGTGCCAAGATGGCCCGAGACTGTGCCGAGATCCGTTCTGGAGTATGTTGGACGCCTTAGGAGAAATGAATTGTGCTATTTCTGCAATAAATTTGCTTAAATCTATCTTGCTATGTTGTTCATTTCATGCGTGTCCATTTCTATGATCCCTCTTGCCCTTGTGATTCTGTTAGGTTCGTGGCGCTAAGTGGAAGGAGTGTCTGAAAACAAGTGAACATCGCGCACCGCTCATAACCAGCAGGTCGCTAGTATCTCCAATATATTTAACTATCACATCTTCAAGATTTGGTCAATATACAATATGTTTTAGTACTGTAATTTTTACATTAACACCTTCACGTGTAATTAAACATCTCCGAAATAAAATGTGATTTTAATATGAAATGAACTTTTTGTTTTCACAACATACTATTATTCTCTAAAAATTAATTGGAAACACCTTCAATTGTAAAGTATCTGAAACCGATGACGATCTGATGACTCATGGCAAGAGAGCAGAAATTCAAAAAACACTCAGGATTCCAGAAAGCAAAATGTTCCAAACAGTACCTGTACAGAATGTCCGGAGAGGAAACGACGAAAGTTCGCAAATAAGATTTTAAGACAATTTAAAGTATATTTTGTCTAACAAACTACTTGGATATTCCGAATGGTTGATCCGCCATAAATACTCAAAACTTGGTAAGAAAAATATGCTTTCTAAGCAAAAATTTGCATTGCAGAAGTATATAAACACTCTAGAAACATGTATATTGTTTATTATTTATAAAAGAAAATAATATATTTGTACAGAAAGCACAAGTGGTATTACAGAATGGCACAGACTTTCCGGTATTCATTTTGTATGTCATTTGGTCTCGGCTAGCTATTCGAACTTGCCACATACTCTTGCCTGCTGCCATGTATCGCCGCCAAATCCATTTTTTGAAATTTTCTTAATTTTTCGGGCATATTATTATTTATTCAGTTATATTAATATTCGGAAATATTATTTTAAGGATATTAAAGAACAGTAAAACCGCGCCCTAAATAGCAATTTTCTTTGAAAAATTTGGAGCCGTTTATAAGAAAATTGCGTTTCAGCGCTACAGTAGCTATATTCGAAATTTGAAGCACTGTTTTACAGAATAGTTTTGAGTTTTCGAAAAACTTCATTAGAAGTCATTTGAAGCCCATTAATTCACAAATACGAAACTGTTTACAAATTGGTAGAAATGTGCATATTACTGGGTGAGAAATATTTTTAAAAATAGTGTAATTTTTTAAAAAACAAAAAATACCCCGCAATGAACTTTACGTTATATCAAAGAGCGCAAATATCACTATCCGTTCGAAAAGTTTGAAGAAAAAATTGGAAACGTTTTTGGGAAAATCTTGTTTTTAAATAGCACGCAATATTGAGCGAAAACTACTAAAATTTTCCAAAAAATATACATGACCTTAAAAAAAGAACAAATTATGGACAACAAATTTTATTTATGAAAAAATCTCCATCTTTAATTTTCTTGTTGTAGGAAGACACCGAAAGAATTCCAACTTTTGAAATTTTCGAACATTCAGAGTTAACCGTGAAATCGGACCTACGCCTCATTTAAGTACATTTTACTCTTTTTAAAAGAAATTTAAAGAAAACTTTTGAAGCCATTTTCGAAAAAAATTGAAAATTTCCCAGGGGCTTCATTTAAAGTACCCTTAAAAAATGATTTGCAAAATCGCGGAGCTTCGACTCAGAACAAAGGGACTGGGATTTCTTCAATATGGAAAAAATCTTTCGCCAGATTTAGGCGCTAGTGTTGTTCACATACACTAGACAGTGGAAGATTTTGAAAAGCAATTTCAGTATCAGGGAACCCCAAAACGTGTATTTCCGTTGAAATCTCAAAATTGATTTTCCGCAACATTACCCTATATATTCATCATTTATATTACTCCGTATATACATACATATAAGGGAAAGTGAAAATTGACACAGAAATAAGAAAATACGCAATTTACACAATTTGACTGTTTTTTTTTATTTATGGTTTCACTCTATCTACTCTTCTTTAATTTTTCTTTCTGAACAAATATATTCATTTCTTTTGTACACATAAACCAAACAATTTACATGTTTCTAGAGTGTTTCTGTGGTTCTGGAATGCAAACTTTTGCCCAGAAAGCATTTTTTCAAAACAACTTTTGAATGTTTGTAGCAGCTTAGCAATTCGGAATATTCAAGTAGTTTATTAAACAAAATACAATTAAAATGTCTTCAAACTTATTTGCAAATTTTTGATGTTTCCTTCTCAGACATTCTGTATTATTACCTTGTAGGATTACCTACTACCACTGTAAAAAGTGTTCACCAACTAAATTAAATATTTTCAAGACCATCTCTTTGGTAAAAGTGAGGAATGATTTGTTAATTTTGAACCAATTTAAACATATTTCTTGAGTTTACCTTCCTGGGATAACGAAAATTTCACACCTGATGATGGATAGAAAGACTTGCTTGAGGGAAAATTTAACGGATGGGACTGCATCACAAACAAAAAGATTGCTGCTTTTCAGTAACAGTTTCTCTTTATTCAATAAGTACATTCTTAAGAACCACTACAAATATTTCAAAATAACAACAAAATAAAACACTTCAACAAAACAATATTCAGAACAGCTCTAATATATAAACAATTTCATCTCGTTTGTAACGCATTGGTCATTTTTTCTTCACCATAATGTGGAGGTAAAATAATATTCAAACAAGAGAGCGCACTTATGTACAATTGTGTTGTGTTATCAGCACTTTTATACAAGTTGATGCGATATAAAGACAGGGCAAATTTTAATTTTCAATATGAAGGATTCCCTCTGCTCACGTGCAACAGGCACATTTTCATTTTGTGCAACTCTCTTTATTATCACAATCAGAGAGTAGAAAGATCACAAAAGAAGGAACCTTGCCTTAACACCTGACAGATTAAGTTCACAACACTCACTCAATTAAGTTTATACAAAAAACTATGATGTAATAAATATATTTTTCTGGCACTCTAAAGGGCAGTTCATATTGTGATTCTATCGCACATCAAGTGAGAACATTTGATAGCTTGGCAGTGCAAGCCTAAAACGGAAGTCACAATTGGTGTTCGCTAGTTAAGAACTATTTCCTCCAACAAGACTAGCGCTATTCTGGTTTATACAAAGATCTTTGTGCATGTTAATCAAATTTATTAAGAATCTAAATGTTAAGCAATAAGGCACACAACATACACAAATAGCAAGTATTATATACCTATAAATGCTTGTAGTAAACAAAAAATTCATTAGTTTAAAAATCTACATTTCTGCAACATATAATTAAGCTCCATCTACTTGGAATCATTTAAAACACGCTGCATACCAACATAAGCTATACAATGTGTGCCTAATGATGTTTTTTATAAATGTATCTAAATGAGCACTCATTCACCAAGATCACTTTGTTGGAACACATGATCTTTTTAATACAAAATGAACAGCCATGCAATTTATACAAAACAGACTACAAAAGTAGATAACAATAATTTAAAACTTGCGTTGAGACACTTCTCCATTCTATGAGAAACTGCAAATGAATCTTCATAGTTTCCCAAAGAATACAAAACTTGGTAAAATCAGTCTACATGATACCACTCTAAAATGTTTTCAAAATTGTTTTGAATAACAAATCTCATAAAAATAATTATAGATATAAACACACTATAGCACAAGCCTAACTGAGACTAGAGGATTCGTTCAGTATGTACGAAATATTATTCAAATCTATTGTCCCAAATCGTGAAATGTACAGCGCTTTCATTACCAATTAAATTAAGGAAAAACATTCATTGACAATGATAGCATACAGAAAATATTTTAAAGACAGCAGTATGTAATCAAATGGCAGTCAAAACCTACAAATATTATTATTATATATATTTATAGTTCAGGATATATGCATCAAAATGAAACAAGCTTTATCACTTTTTATCTTACCTGATCCAGAGAAGACAAAATATTATCAGTCACTAATAATGTTTTCAATTAAAAATTAATTTATTAAAATTGAGTATTTTCTAGTCTCATTAAGGAAGTTTTATTACAAATCGTCTAGTTTTTGACAACTGTAATCCAAAATGAAGTATATGTATTACATAACTCAACATTATTGCATATATCTCTTGACAATAAAATACAAAATATACTATATAAAAGTTTGCTGATTCCCTCCCGTGTGCACATGATCGTAAATTTACACTGGGATAATACCAAATGCACCAGTTACCTGAGCCTGCAGATATTGTGCTACAAAAACCACTCCCTAAAGTTAAAGCCGTTTCTCTATTTATCTACTACGCTACGTAGTTAAGATAAAAAGCATTCAACTGCTCCAGGAAGATAAAGGTGAGCACGGTGTGTGGCGCCAAGCGTGCAAAGTATGGTGTGAAGCCCTTCCACAGAGCAAAGATGCCTTCATTGCGAACCACCTTAGTGAACACGTCCAAAGTTCCTTTGTACTCTCCTTTGCCATCAACTTTTTTCATGTTTTGAATCCTGTAAAGATAAAAAACAAAAACTTCTTAAGATGCCTACAGCTTCTCTGCAGTTGTGTGATAGACACTGGAACTCACAATTAGTGACCTACTGGTTGCAATATGAAATCAGTAGTGTTACTTTAATGTCACTTGTAAGTTATTTTCCTATGTAATAAGAATTGTATCATCTGAATGAAGTCTTATAATACAATTAGTAACAGAGCTTGCTTTAGAAATAAATAACTCATTTCTTTGATTCATACATATTAGGTAAGTACTTGAACTCTGAGTGAAAATGTCTATTTACAAACTGGCAATATACAACTGCAAGTATGTCAAAGGAAAACATCAATCAATGGTTACCAATACGGCAGATATCCAAATAAGGCAAGAACTCACACTTTCACTAAGGGTATGCAAAATTTTCAAATTTGTTGGATCTCTATCAAGTGATACTTTTAATCAAATTAATTTTATACAAAAGTGGTGTGCCGAATGCAAAAAAAGTTTCCTTTGCCAATTTTCTAGCTAAGTGAACTTTATGAATTAAATTTCTCACAAATTTTAACAAACTATTAAGAATATTTCATAAAACTTTTATGATACATGAAAAATGCATTTTACAGGACTCTAAAGATTTTAACAGAAGTTTGAGAAATTTAAGTTTAACTGTAATTCATTCACAACAAATAAAATCAAAATTTTCTAATATTTAAATCTAAGACAATCTGGTGAACTCTAGCTATGATAAAAATGACAAGCTGTCCCTCTCTAGCTCAAAATAGATGGGAAGATACAACATTCATCTCAGAGAAATTCTGTGCAATATTGTATTTTTCTTTTTCTTTTAACCTTTTGCAGACCAGTGTGTAAACATTTTTAACCCAAATTAAACATTTTCAAAAATTTAAATTTAATTAAAACTTTTAGCAATAATGGCTTTTAGTTTACAAAAATTTTAAGCAAACAAACTTTGTATCAAAGTCTATGGAAATGCAACACTATTCGCACCCTAAAATATCAAAAAATAAAATCAGGAATTTCAATTTATAAATTCTATATATGGCAAAACACAATTGATACATATATTCCTGAAACAAATTTTCTATACAGCACATAATTTGAAATAAAATAGAAAAGTTCTTAATTTACCTAGTTTTGGCGATATCTACAGGCAATGAAGCTACTGTAGTCACGAAACCAGATATCACACTGCTAGCAAAATGACATGCTACATTATCTTTGAAGTATCCTGCAAAAAATCATTACAAAAAGATTATAGACTACACTTTTCATACAAAAATATCTCCAAATTCCAGTTTTCTTTGACCTTAATCCAAAAATACCAATGCTGGCATACTGCCACCCCTTGTGTCACATCTTAACCACTGAAAACTTACAATGATGTCCTATTTATTATTACATTATTTTTAATTCCAAAATTTCTAACATTTCTCCCCATATCCTTTTAAACAACAGAGTATCTCAAATTCATAATTTATCAATCATTTTGTACTTCAAAGGAAATAATTGTTTATTACGAAATTATTAATGTAAGGTGATCATTTTTTTTGTACTGTATTATGATAAAAAAATTAAAGAAGAGAGTCTGATCTCAAAAAATGTTTTTATATAGCTTGCAAAATTGGCTAGTAATAAAATGTCATTTTACAACTTTTAACTGGTAACTCAAATGCTTATTACCAATTAAAAAACCCCCAATAGTAAAATGATTATTCTTGGATAACATTTTGCAAAAACTATGTGCTAGATTGCCAGGCTGCAGGGTAGAAAATCCAGATGAAAAGAGCTGATGTATTTTTTGGAATTGTATCCATTAATCTCACAAAATATTGAACCCAAGAAATCTTGAATTTCAGAATTGATTACAAAAGAAAATATATTTTGTTCTATGATTTTTTGAATAATATTCATTTAAAAATTAACAAAATTTTATATTTTCAGAAGTTAAGTTCTACTACAGATCTTCCATAAAACAATGTCTGGTTACATCTCACCTGTAGCAAGCAACAATTGCTTGGCTTGTGAATATGTGGCAAGTTGAGCAGCGTTGACAACCATGGCTCGACCCATCGTGGGTATAGCACCTCTCCAGAGCGTCAATACACCTTCTTCTTTAGAAATGCGCATTAAGGCATCAAATACATTGTTATAATTTCGACGTTCTGCTGGAGGTAACCGACCATCCAAAGTCATACGGATCAATGACACTTCTGCTGGTGTCCCAACAAATGCTCCACAAACTCCAGCTAACATTCCCAATCCAGCCTTTGTGGCAAAATTTGGTGGAGTACCATCAGAACTGAAATGTATAAAAGTGAAAACTTCAGAGGAATCCTCTCCAGATAATATTTTTTAAGGTTAATTTAAAAATAAGTGACAACTTACCTTGTGCAAGCTTCCATAGCCCAAGTGAATACTCCTAATCTAGTTGTTGTATAAGTTGCCTGTCGCAGGAGACCAGCAGATATTCCATTGTACATGGCTAACACACCTTCCTTTCTAAGAATTGTTGAAAATGCATGAAAACTCGACTTGTATTCCTTAACAGCAGAACCTGCACCACTCATCTGCATTCTGTTTTTTACCAAGTCCAAAGGCTGAACGAACAATGTAGCTGCCATTCTAGAAGTAATGGTGAAAGTTAAATCAAATGTACCTTGTCACACGCAAAATTTACAAAAGGAACAACTTCAATAATAAATAATTACAATAAACAGTGATTATGTTGTAACTTACACTCAAGATATTCATTTACGAGACAAATTGTAAAATAATACCGGCGATATCGTAACATAACTTAACAAAAAGTCGCAAATTCTCTTACCCTGCTGTGCCTCCGAATAAAAACTTTATACCATTTGGTATGGTCTTTTTTGGAGCTGATTCTGCCATTTTTAAATGTTGTTAACTGATAACAATAAATATTAAAAAATCATATAAATTTATTCTATAGCATTCACACGACACCCTAACCACTAGTCGTTCGAATCTGTTCTAAACTTCATGTAGGGCATTCAGGTCAGCTGTTATCGTTAATCAAATTTCTACTTTTACGATGTTTTCATCAGCACTTGGGCAAAGTCACTTAATAAAAATGTTTAATAAATAAAATATATTAAAAAATTAATGTAAATGTTTCGATATTATTTCATATTACAAAATACTATAAATTTCGTCTTTATCTTGAAACTTCTTGTTACTTTCAGCGTGGTACCACCCGTCACCGACGATTAGTACATTGTTACTGATATTTGGTTTTATTATGCTTGTGAAAGCGTGCAAACGATATCTGTCAGCTTTCTCACTAGAGTGAATAAGTTTTGTGGTGAGACCCAGTCACCCGTCGTTCATTTCCATAAACACTTGTTGACATTCGTAACTTACGCCCAAGTGGACACACGTCAGAACGTATTTTCAGTTGGTAATGTTTGTATGAGTTTCGGAGGGAACGTGCAACCTTGGCGGTCTTTCAGTACGTAGAAGAGTATAGAATTTTTGAAAAACATCACATTCCTTTGCTCTTTAGGGTTTTAAATCGCAACCTTTTACTATGAAATGATGTGCGAATTGCAAGTACCTTACGTCACATTCGCGTTATGTCTAAACTCCTTTGTAAAGTCCTACAGGTTCCATTGTAAGGTAAAACATTATTTGCTTGTACTTAAATAAAAATATTGTACTGGAGAACGTCATTTTATTTTTAAAAAATGTGATACAAATTTTACATTTTCTTATTCTACTGCTCATGCAGTCCATTTTAAACATCTTGTGTCCAAGTGTGTTCCTGAGCATCGAATGCTACAGTATCTGGCTCCACATTTTACACAAGTATAAGTGCTAGGAAAACCACACACAGCACAGAAGCGGCGCTCTGGACACTTGGAAGGTGCCGCTTGAGCAGACATATAGTTTGGTGGATTTGGGTTGTAGTTTCTATCTTCTTCTACAAGCTGAGGAAAAGTTTTGCGAAACCTAGAAAAGGACATTCGTATGCGTAAATGTATCCATTGAAATATACTGTAGAAAGATGAATAACTTGCTTGCGTGATTACCTCTGCTTGTAGTATTCAGCACTTTTACCTTTCTTTCGCTTCACACTTCTGTTGTCTAGTGTTTCTTGAAATTTAGGCACCTTTTTGCTCATTACTGTAATAACGAATAGTTATTGTGAATTGATAAAATGATTGCGGCTATTAATATTACGATATTTTATCTAATGGGATATCATGTATTTAAAAAATTCAAAGTTGAATTCAGGGTTTATTTTACATGTCATGAACTCTTGTGACATACATTTCTTATAAACTCCCAGAAAATTAAATTCTAGAAATAAAAGATATTGCTCAATTAAATAAATGTAAAGATTATTTTCTATTATCACATTTTAACTATCTTACAGAGCTTTAAATCTTCTTTCAGACAAAATGGTGAAGCAACTGTAAATGTTTCCATACCAATTGAAATATTTTATGTTTACATCCTAAAATTAAGATATGCACTTACAGGCAGCCATTTCTCCATCTTTTAAGAGTTTTCCAAAAGTCTATTGCACAAAATTTAAAAAAAATACACACCTAAATCTGCATGAGGATCTTCATGAAAATTATCAAGTTCAAGGGCCTCCAGAGCTTTCCGAGCCCTTCTCTTCCGTGTTGCCTCATCCAACACCTTCCCAGATTCCTTCAATCGTCCAGATTCTCTAGCAGTGGCCATGGTTCTTCACTCAATTTTTAGTCACTTTTTTCCTATAAATCTGTGGTTTTACACACCTTTCTCAGCCAGAGGGAAACTTATTTGGTCCATTAAATCATCAACTCTCGCTTGCAATGTTTCTAATATATCTGCAGAAATAAAGAGATGACTCTCGTCCAAATCTTGAATAATGAACTTCTTTCCCAGAGCTAATGTATCATCCAGGTGAAGCAGAAATTGTTTCATAGCATGGTCACTGAAACAAAGTTATTCGGTTGTCAATACAGAATATAAGAAATCAAAATGTCAAAAAGAAAAGGTGTCAGTGCAGAAGAGAAAAGAATACGAATGTTGCAGATATTTCATGAAAAGCAAGAGTTTTTCCAGTTGAAGGTAAATTTAATTTCAAAAGTTTCTTTTAATGCTTTTATTATTGGAATTCTACAATGCTTTATCATATGCACATCTTTTTCCCAATAGGAATTAGAAAAAATAGCTCCCAAGGAGAAAGGAATAATAGCTCAATCAGTGAAGGATGTGGTCCAGAGTTTGGTGGATGAAGGTCTTGTGGATACTGATAAAATAGGAACTTCTGTCTACTATTGGGCATACCCCAGGTAATCTACAGCACCCTTAATAAGCTGAACTTGGCAAAAAATTGCCTACTTAAAAGAAAAAAATAAATAAAAGCCATTGATGGTGTAAACTGGATTGAGGCAGCAGTGCAATGGAAACCACTTGGAATTCATTGTGCCCCCAAGATTAGAAATTAATGGTACATAAAACTCCAACACACAATTTCTTTCCTTGCATGCAGTAAAAATAAAATAAAAGTTTACTAATGTGTCCGATCGATGTGAAAGAAAATATTATTCCACAAGCATATATGGTCATTTTATTACAATAGCATTGTTTTGTGGAAAAACAGATTGCCTGCTATTTTTACTTTTTCCACTGCATTTCAGTACATCTAATACCTTAGGCCGTAATTGCATTCCAAGAAACTCAGTGTATAAATTACGAATTATGTTGAGAGCATAAGCTTCTGTGGCTGGAGTTAGTAGCTACTTGGCTGCCCGGGAGATGCTGCAACCTCTAGGCATAATTGCAATGTGCATTTCACCCTGAGGAAGGTCACAGAATGGTGGCCAAAATGTTAGCACCCTTGCCCAGGATGCCTCGTCTTCCGAACAGCCAAGTAGCTAAGTATTACATTTCATGAAATTCAGACTATTCTCTAGATGAATAAATTAACCATTTAAACAAAAAAAACAATGATAATTTTTCATTGCAATTTTTAATTTCTGACTACTTTGTTGATATCTGTGCATATATGACTCCTTTCATAATTTTTCTGCATTAAAAATATTCAGAAAGAGTATCTTGAATGTAAAAGAATAGAGCAACTGCCTACAAATACTTCCACAGAATTTTATAGAATGATGATGAATTCAAATTGTTGGCAACATAATCAAAGCAGGAACACAGTCAATAAAAAAGTATGTTAAAAAGTACAAACTGAGACTGTCACTAAAAGTTTTAAAGGTACCTTTACGATTTAGAAACATAGTTTACGTAAGGCACCAAAGAGAGAAAAAAAATTGTTATTTTAAGAAGATCCTATTTTGAATATTTTATTGTATTCAACTTTTCGCACCAAGTAATTAATATTTCTCACAACTGCAAAACCTGCCAAAAAATAGGCCTGCCTGCATTGCAGACTTGAATGTTATGCCACTGGGGACAGCTAACTACAATTTGATACACAGATGAGTGGCATGCAAATGCTCAGGATAAAACTGCTTTTGAAAACTGTGAGGAAAGTTACAAAGAGCATCTTTATTTTTCTGAGTAGTTAATGAGTTTGCACAGTTCAACTTTTAAATTTTATTCATATGTTTTGTCAGCCAGATTCTTATTTTAGTAAATTTTATTTACTTTATATACCATAATACAGAGTTAGTTTTAATTAAACAAGTCCTCCCAGATAGGCTGGCATTGATGACCAAACAGATAATGCTATCTTCCAAAATTTATATTGAACATTATATGGATTTGTCTAATTTTTTCTGATTTTCTCATACATATACATAAAAAATATTACACTTTTGGAACTATCTCGTTGCGGCAACACTTGGTATCAAAGCATTTGGTCATTTCCTTCACCGAGATTATTGCTCCAAATATACATTACTTTGTACTGGATTTTAAAATAATTGAAAATAAATAATTTTGTAATAAATTGAAGTATTATAGTTAGAGAATACATATTTTGTGTAAAAAATTCTTAAATATGAATAATCCATTTGAAAATATTATTTAGCAGTTTTGGAACAAGTCATTTTACTGTCTGCATTTCTATTGCTGAAAAAGCTACATAGCATATCTTCAAGAAAACATATTTTTTAATATTATCTCAATTTATCTAGTGAAAAAAAATTCAGTGTGATATTCGTGAAATTTTCAGTAAAGCTCAAAACACGAAGAAACGTAAACTTGATGATACTGCCAGTTCATTGGAAGAAAAGACTAAAAAGTTACAGAAGGTAAAGGAAGATGTAAAAAACAATCAGGCTTTAAGGGAGGATACCCCTCAGCGCAAAAAATTACTAGAAGATCTTGCAAGGCTAAAGGCTGAAGAAGCAAAATTGCAGCAAGATATTCAAGTATACAAAGACAATGACCCAGAAGTCTTGGAGAAAATGAAAACTGAAATACAGGTAGGTTCAAAATTTGAAAACTTTTAATGCTGTTTTGGTGAAGGTTTGATGCTGAATAGCATTTAACATAAGGAAAATTGAACAGTTCCCGAATTCGTAGAGGAGAGATCAACAATTTTCAGTCTAGTCACAAAGAATTGTGTCTTATACTTATTTTCCTTGATTAGTTTTAAACTTATAATCTCTCAGTTTCAGAAAGAATGAAGCTGTTAATTGCAAGTACAATAAATAAAATTACCAGAGATTTAAGATTTATCCGATAAAATTTTGAAACATTCTGTAAATGTGATAAAAAAATGAAACTCAATATATTATTATTAATATTATATTTATTATTATTATTATTCTTTAATGACCGAAGGTGTTATGAGTCGTTTGAATATAAAAATCTAATCCTGATTGCTACCAGCTTATTAGGAGCAGATCTAGGGACTGTCAGTGCCTCTACGATCCTTTGTGCAAAATGTGGGCTGTTCTCAATAAAGCAGTCTTGCACTTCCCAGGCTTTTGAATGACCTGGGAGTTCTTAATTAAATTTTGCAGAACAATTCCCAATGCTCCGATAACTATTGGGACAACCTCTGCTTTTACACCCTCTCGATTTCCAAACTTGTGTTTGTAACCAAGGAGGCAGAGAAACATCTTAAAATGTTTTAATTGCCCGGCACACCAATATCTACAAACAGACATATTAATCTTTGTCTTTACTTTCAATCCCTTTTCAACTACCACTACTGTAAGGAATGAATAAATGAATCTTTTTTTATTTTTTTAACTAATTGCATGAATGCAAAGAAAGTTAATGTGTTCAGCTGTGGATCTTTGCTCACAGTAGAGCAGACAGGCCTAGTAATATTTTTTTATCCAAGAATAATCTGGTGGAATGGGATATTGAAAATGTTTTTTAGCCAGACTTTGTGCGCTAGTATTTTTTTCTTTTCATATTATAATTGACTCTAAAACTAAACTTTGGGCTCTGTGTCACATTTGCCCAAGTTCACATGAGCACAGTTTTGTTTTTGTTCTTTGAATGATTGTGCACGTGTCGTTTTGACTTCAAACTTTGTAAACAGTGTCTTTTGGATATAGTTCGCAATTTCTCACTGAAATCTGGACAAATATCAAAATATCCCATTGGGACGAAAGATTGGATCTTGAAGTCTATTCCACTTATATAGAGTTCTTGGAATTAATTTGATCGGTAAATATGTGGAAAACATGTGACACAATTTTAAAATGTCTTCTTCTCAGGTTGCAAAGGATGCTGCCAACAGATGGACAGACAACATATTTGCAGTTAAATCATGGTGTAAAAATAAATTTTCTATGGAGGAAAGCACCCTTGATAAACATTTTGGAATAGATCCAGAAATGGATTACATTGATTAAATGTTGGAAATTGTTATTTCCTATTCATGACATATGGCTATGAGTAGGCATGAGCATGTAATGTAAATTAGCGATTACAAATAAATAATTTACATCCTTACCATTCTACTAGTATTCCTTTAATGACATTGACCATTATAATGACATTAACACTAGGGTTGAAAAAGTGGTACAACTTTCAATGCTACTACTGGCAATATTATTGTCCGTACTAGTAAAAAGAATATGCTTTTCACAGGATAAATCACGTTTGATCAATCACAATTAGCACAGCCACAATTCCGTCCGGTTGTTTTAACCTCAACTTCAAACGATTCCTTCCTGCTCCTGCCGCTGCGCTGAACGGTCGTCTTTTCAGTTTCACTATTTAGTTCTGAAAGCATCGGACAGAGCGCGTAGTTTCGCCGAGTATGACGCTTTCAGTTAGTGCGTTTTCTTGACAGGATATCGCTTGTGTCACGGGTGAATGTGTATTTAGGTAGTTTAAGGCTAATGGGGCAATTGATTATTTCAATGATTCGTGCAGTGTGATCAGATAGATGAAAATCAATATTATGAGAAGAGAATTAATACATTTCAATGTCCGTAATGATGTGGTCTGTGGTAGAGCTGGAATGGGTTGTAATACGTATTGGCCCTAATTCTACATCTTATACAGAATAGCTAGCCGAGACCAAAGGATATAGAAAACTAATACGAGAAGGTCCATGCCATTCTATAGCACCACTAGTTCGTTATAGTGTGCTGTGTCTATGTGTAGCAAATGTATAACGTGTGTACTGCAGTTTTGCAAAATGTGTGCTTGACTGTTAACACAATGAATAATATCAAACACCCAAGACATGACTTTAATTTCAATACATTCAATCTCAAAAATCACTGTAATAGTTTTAAGAAAAAAAATTAGGGGTGTGTCATCCTATTCCATCGACATTCAAAATTCAGTTCAAGGAGCACATTGGATTAAGAACCAGGCCACACTTCACCCATTAGTTATATATTTCAAATATAATAGTAATTTAAGGAACAAAAGTGTCAACAATTTCTGAAAGCCTATAGCATGCAAATGCAATTCATCTCTCCCAGAAACATTTGATTGAATTTCTAAATGTTGATGTAGATAATGTCAAAAAAAAAAAAATACATTTTCCAGATTAAGAAGTATAAAAACTGGAAAATTTTGTTAATTTATGTTTTCACAAAGAAGATTTTGCTATGAGCTTTGAATGGCATATATTTGCTACTTCCCATGGGAAAGGGTCTGGTATTGTAATTGGCGACACCACCAAAAGATTGGCTACATGAGCAAGTATGCAGCCACTTCAGGATACTAAATTCCAAATACGACACCACGGAAATTATTCTAATGGGCAAAAAATGTTGGTGATATTCACTTTGTGGTTTTGACAATTGATGACCAGAAAAAGTAATGTGATTTGTTGAAATTCCGTTATGAAAAAGCGAAACTAGTTACACAAAAATACACTATTGTGAATCTATTATTTTATTAACTTATCTAAAATATAAATTTATATACTTCAATTACTACTTCAACAATTTCAACTACTCATTCGTATCTCCCATTTTAATGCTAAATAGACTGAGTACATTTGACTTCAAATGGCGCGAATTTGGATGCCGCATCCTCTAAATGCCGGATGTTTCATATGGAAAGGAAATGTATTTCAACTGTATTTATGTGTATGCTGTTCTGAAATTTTGCACAATTATACAATAAAAAGTGGAAAATTTAGAGATATTATTATATTTTAAAACGTTTTCCGAACCTAAAATAAACATTTCAAATTAAAAAGCTTCGAAGCGAAATATTAACAATGTCAATTTTTCTATAATTTTAGTACGAATTTAATAAATAGTCATGTTACAATCTAGTTTGAGTTCTTCAGTTTTTTAGTAAAGTATATATGAGCATTTACATATGACAGTACGCGCGATGTTATGTAATATTTAATTTCGAATAACTCTAAAGATATACGACTTATGAAAATAAAAAAAAAAAACACGTGAGATTGTTGGAAGATGAGAGTGCATTAAGTTTGCGAACTCTCAGTCCTCGCGCGTGGATTTGCGGCACAAACATAGCGAGTTAATATATGGAGGGTATAATAGATTTATTTGACGTCTTTTATGAGACTATGGGAAAACGTGAGTATGAAGTACATTAATTTTGAGCAGTTGTAATAAAAAGTATCGACGTCGAAAAAATTATTCGCCATTAGCGACCTGCCCTCTGAGATTTATTCTCGGGGAAATCAAAGGACTTAGTGATTCCGAGAATGAAGAAACAATAAACCATGGCCATTGAAATGTGATAGCGGGTGCTTGGACGAATGCCATTCTTTGAAGTAACAGAGCCTTCCATACTTTAACTCAGCTTCTTAGAAGCGCATCTGGCAGGGTGAAAATCAGAGTCGGAATTCGGCGTTTCAACTTACACTTTAACTCGAAATTTGGCCTTTGTCGGAATCTGACCAGTGTTCACACGATATCCACCGCATTTTTCTCTCTCACATTTCGTAACGTAAGAGAAAGAAATGTAATCACACTCCGAAAAACGACAGATTTCGACACATAAAACTCTTATTGTCGGGCCCTGGTAACGAAAACGTAGGTAAATTCAGATGCTAAATAAAGAAAAAAAAGTCCTCTAACATGTAGTGCTGCCAGAATCTATGATTTGTGCGTCATCGATGCCGAAAAATCGATTGACGGCAAAACGTCCATCTGCCCATTTGTCCGTCCGTCAGTCTGTGCTCCACGCTAGCACATAAACCGTTCAGTCGATTTTTTTCGAAAATTGATATTTCCAACCACTTTGGCTGATATCACGGCCCATGAAACTTGAAAACGATATTTTTTGGGGGTGGGGGGTTCATTACATGAAGTCTCTCATACGTTTTCAAAATTCTTAAAAATTGTTGCAATTTTGTATTAAATTTTGTTCTTGAAAAGCGTTTAAGAGATGGCGCAGGTCTCATTTTGGTTAAATTTTCTGATTTTTGAAAACATGCGAATGCGAATTAAAATATACGCAAATCAAATTAATTAAAACTACAAAATAGGAGATAGAGATATTTGCCGCAGACAAAGCCTATTGTACAAACTTAGCTCTTTAAAAATGTTCTTAAACAATTTTTTTCAGTCAGGAATAGTATACACTTCCTACGCACGTGGTTCTGGCTTTGATTTCCACTGGGCACTTAGGTTCACCTCCAGCACATTGCAACAAACACTATTGCTTCGACACGTTTCACCCAAATAAAATTATTTGTGTCACTGCAGGCTGCTGCATTTACCGAGAAATGGACTTCTTTCCAGAACGGCCAACTTTACACAAAGAATTCATCAAGTTGACATTTAAAATCAATAAATGTAATATTTAAAAAATCTCTAAGCATCATAAATAATGCATTGACTGAACTTGTGTACTTCAATAACAAGCGAAATTCATAATATTACTTTGCATCGAGTCAGACGAAGACAGAATATTGGTATTCCCCTGAGACTCTCTCCGTCACCGCGCAGCGCTAGACTGCGCCACCTGTCTGGTTACCCAACCAATAGGCCATATGTTCCCCGTGTTAAATCGAAGGGCCAAAGAGTAAATGGAGTAAACCCAGTACTGCAGCCAAAAGCCCAGAGCGTGGTTCAATACCTGGCAAAGCACCGTAGAGGACGCCATGTGGATGCTCTTTAATTTTAAATACGTTGATATTGCTGCAATATCTTGAGTATTGAATATCATTAAAAGAAAAATGTATATTCCTAAGATACTGAGATATTTTTTCGATTATAACTGGGATGCGGGTGCAACTGTGCAACATAAGCACGAGCCACCACTGTCTGAGGCAAACATCTCCATCTTTAATTTTGTAGTTTTGAAATGTTAACTTATCGGCACTTTCGAAAATACGGAGTTCGCTAAAAATGGGACTAGTACCATACTTTATAATGTCCCTTGATATATATGAGGAGAACATTTCAAGAATGTATTTAAAGATAACATTTAAGAGATATTTTTCGATAATATCTACGGGTTGTGCAACCGTGAAATCTAAGCACGAGCCGCCACTGATATGCACACATAGCCATTCACACTCATTTTTACTTTCTAACCCTTTCTTTAAGAAAAGAAAGTAAAGTAATCCGACGCGGAAAACGGCGAATTTTCAAATTAAGACCACTTATTACTGCGCCTGATAATGAAAAAGTTGATAAATCTTGTTTCAGTACTATATTTTAGTTATGAATTGTAATTATGTTAATTAAGATAATTTATGTTTATTTTATTTTAACCGATCACCTATGTTTTCTATTAATAGAGATAGCTGAGATAATTTAAAAAAATAGCTTAGTACTTATCTTAGTGCTTAGTACCTATTATTAAAGTGCATTTTTTATTTGTACAGCTGTTGAGACTGACTCCACAAAACAGGTTGTTATTGGCTGATGTAATGTCACATCCTTGGATTCAGAAATACAAAACATATCAAGTGAAGCCAGATCTTAGTGGATATATAAAATAAATCTTTAAAAGAATGTGATCTTGTGTTGGAAATGTTGATAATTATTTAATAGTTTGTTTTTTATTATCATTTTATTGTTATCAAGTTTAATTACTATGTATAAAGGAATGTATAATTCATATAAACTATGTTAATAATGATGAGAGATTGTGCTTATATGCAATAGTTGTACTTATGTGCGTGTGTTATTATGCAATAAAACTTGTTAATTTAAGAAATACATTTTATAAGTTTCAATTACTGCCATTTATACTTTTACATATTTTATTTGTTAATGCATTTATATTTTTTAAATTTCAAAATGAGATTAAGGTAACACTTCACTTGAAATTGCTATGATCTCAGTTTTTTCTCAGACTTTATTAAATTTTTATGAACAACAAGAAGAAATGAAGTCCACGTTATATGTCTGTCATTATCCTGCCAGCAATGCGCGTACAAAGTACTTGTGTAGTAATTACATTATTTGTAGGTGTTTAACCATTAATGTTGAAACATATTTGACCTATTTTTCCTCCTAGTTTACGCTTTTTTCCACAGGTTTACACTGAAGTGAAGTATTTGTAAGCTTGGCAAAACTCTGCCATATCTTCCTTTTTCCACAAGTTCTTACAATTTAAACTATAGAATATCAACCGAAACATAGTCGCAGCTGTTAAAAGTCCACGTGTAAATAATTTAATGTAATATATTCAGTGCACTGATTTAAATATTGCGCTGTCAACTGGAATTCTTGTACCTCAGCTCGCGGGTTAATGACCCCCATCTCGGCCAGGTTTCCGTCCTCTTCTCGCGATCCTTTGAGCGGATGTTGAGAATGCCCCCTTGTTTTGATTCTGGACATACATGTAACTTCACCATCTTTCACGTTTTCTAGAGTTCAGTGAGAAAGCTTAACTTGACTTATTTAAGTAAACGTTCACCATGTTCTCACGGCAGTAAGTCAATGCCTTCACGAAGAGCACGATGAGGGATAACAGCCAAAATCTGTAACTTTTGCATTTCGCAAATAGTTTTTATTACACGGGAGCTAATATTTTCTTATACGTTTTTGTCTAAAACGCTCTTTCTCTTGTTGCATATGATGTACCAACCACGTTGCACGGTAGGATAATTAGTGGGCTGTATTGGAATTGTTCGGTTCGTGCGAGTGCCTCGGAAACCTAGGTTTGTTCCAGCAAACAATCACGTAGTTACGTACTCTAATTCTGCGCATGCGCGAGTGCAAACTAGTCAGAAACGAGTCCCGGTTTGGGACCTGCTGGGACAAGTAAGTACAAAAATCAGTCTCTAGATGCCGCTGCTTTCGTTTCATCGGTGGTTGCAGAATTCTCCGCCAGATATCATTTTCGTATCGTATGTAAAAATCAAAGTTACCTCATCCTGGTTACTTCCTGGTATTCCTGTAGTATTCACCTGCGCTTTACGTTTCTCAATAATTGCTCGCTTATTTTCTTGACCACGCTATTAATTACTGATTTTGAACCTGGTAAACTGTGACTTGCGCTATTGTTTTTTATTATTCTTTTAGATTTCGGTTAATTGTATTTTTCTTAAAAATGACAGAGAACGCTACCAATACAGAACGGTAAATAACTACATACATATTTAGTAAGTCCCGGTACAAGGAACTTCCTTAAAATTTCTTACCTTCCATCCCCCTCCCAAAAAAAGAAACAAATATCAATTTCCAATATCCACAAGAAAATCCAGAAGATAACTAACTCACCAAAATCCAAAAAGCTAGATTTAGATTGATTAAGTCAAAAAAAGTAAAAAATTCTATATGTGAAGTATGGGGGAGAAGATAATCTTTCGCATGTTTTCTTGATTTCCAGAATCCTTCACATCGTTTTTACTAATAAATAAAAAAATAGACATTTATAAGAAGCGCGCCAGCCAATTAGTTGAGTACTTGAGGCAATAAAAATTGAGAAAGTTAATGAAACGTAAATAAAGCAAGGATAATTCCTATATACACAAGAAAAAATCCGAAAGAAAGCGAAATCACCAAAAACCAAGAATCAATAAAATGTAAAACAAAGCAGAGTAGAAATATATAGAGCGCAATATGAAACAACTATGCAGAATCCTGATGGAAACATAAATGGCGCGTCGTCGAAGTTTGGCGTTGGCGGGAACTATGGGACCGAACGCATGCGCGGATTTCAAATGGCCCGGTTCACGTCTGTCTACCATTTCAATTGGTCTACTGCTTTTCAACGCTTATTGGTTGGCGGTGGGCGAATATGGCAACCTCTTTCTGATACGATTTTTCTGTGGGGATGGGAGATTCGAATTTCTCCTCTTCACGAAAATAGGGGCTTTCCGTTTAACATTGAGTGCCGCTTCGGACTCTCCTCGTTCTTCCCACCCGCAAAAAACCCAACCGATAATTGGCTAATTCACGATGATGGCCGGGGCTAGCCCGTGAAAAACCGAAGAGCGTATAAATAAACCTGCTTGCATCTAGCAAAGCGAGGGCTCAAGAAAAAGTGCGCGGGTAAAATCCGTCCAGGACAGTTCGTGTTGTTTATTTATTAATTAATTGTTACAAATTGCTCGTTATATGTGGATTTTAAAATGGAAGGTATTAGTATCTTGGCGGAAAATGTGATAAAGATAGAAGATGTAAGTAGTTTCTGTAAAACTGACTTTCTGTTAAATCGTGTGGGGGTAAACTGTTATGTATGATCTATTTGACAAATATAATTTGGCATATTCTGTTCAATATTTACATAGTGCAATTAAATTTTACGAAGTTCAAATTTTTGTTTGTGTTTTGTGATTTCTATACTTCAAATAAGGATGATTCGGTTATTAAAATAAAATGTTTCCTTTCAATGTTAGTACTACTTGTTTTACTATGTTGTAGGTTAAAGAAGAACAAGTAATTAAGGAGGAATGCAACTGGAATTGCATTGTAAGTTCTAATGTATAGTTCCATATATTGTATATTTTGTCATGTAATCTAATGATTTCATGTATTTTGTGACAAATACTAACCTATCATATCCCAAACTCATGATTGTTGCAAGCCTTTCTTTATCAATCTGGGAATACACCATTGCCTTGCATCTTGATTAATGAACAGTGTTTTTTGTGCAATACGACTTGTTCAGTGGAGGGGATATATTTTAATCCCAAAGAGATGTCTTATCACCATAATTCTCTACGTACGTATCATATTCATGAAGTGTCGGTATATATAGCTAACAAAAATCGTTAAATTAAATGTATATTTTTACAATACATTGAATTTTTAAACAATTACAGTAGGTTTATGAGTTTTGTGTTAAGAAAAACATTTTTTGCCACATTAGTCTGTATAGAAACTGTTGAGCACCCCAGAGGAAAATAATATTGATTTTAACAGTGATTTAATTTATTCATGCTACAAATATTTACTGAAGCTCATATTTAAAAAAGATCATAACATTTAACAGTGATTTTAGAAAGTAATATCAACTAACTGCATTTAGTAACAATAGGAAATTGGAACAATGAACTAAATACATTAAAATTAAGAATAAATTGTTACACTAAAAGTGGAAACGAAAATGAGCTGTTCTACCTGTTTTTACACATGTAGTCATTGCTGCATTCCATAAAATCCTATCCAAGTCAGCAAAGATATCAGTATCACTTTTAGCACAGGTTACAGAATTATTGTCATTTCAGATCGTTATATACGAAATACAATTACTTGAATACTTCACATTTCAGACAATATTATAAAATGGTTTCACAGAATGATGCTTTATTGCCCCAACCACATATCTATTTACTTGACAACTGGGGTGGGGTTAGAGCAATGTTGCCACTTTGTTTAAGCTTGCAGTTACTTTGCCCTACGAGATTTCTGTTTTTTCTTAAGCGTCAGCAACATAATCACCATATGAAGCCTCTCTCCCCTGGCAGCTGTCAAGTAGACAGTAGTATTATTTGTTGTGTAGTTATCATAGGAGTAATGCCCATTAGAAGTCACTTCAACCTCTAGTCCTATGACCTTTATATCACAGAGGTTTTTTGTCTAATTACCCTTGATGCATTGAGCGAAAGCTGAGATGGCTACTTGTGTTGCTTCTGGTCATAAATGTATTTTCACTATGAACATTTTCTTAAACTCACTGATGGATATGATTATTACAGTTATTGTTCTCCATTTTCTTGTAGCAGTGAATTGATTCCTGCAGTATTGTACAATAAGGGATAATAGCCTAAGAATACCTGATTTGCATTTGAAAATGGTTCTTAATACTCGGGAATTAATATTTCTTTTAATTCTTCCAAAGTCACTTGAGGCTACCTGCATTGATAATTTAACTTAGTAAATTATATAAAACAATTGTCAAGTTGAAGTTTATTCAGTTAAAAATATTTTTGAAATATCTATTACAGATCTTCCTCTGCTCAAAATGATCTTGTTTTGCATTACAGGCCTCCACAATGTGAGCGTTAGATTATAACATGTTCTTAGAAAACCTGGAGATAACTTTAAAAGAAGTTAGCTATTGCTATTTTGAATCCGTTGGTGAATGCGAAGATTGTAACATTGAGTTCTGATTGAATCTTGCAAGAAGAGCAGTTTTTCAATATAATGAAAACTTCAACTTAGATATTACAGTAAATGAATGTTCATGGATCACAGTTAATTTCCAGAAGGCAATGGAACAAATAATACGGAACGAAACTATTAGTAATTATTACAACAAAAGATCTACAATCCAGGATAACGAGACAAATTTCGAACTATTAAAAGAAATGTGATAACTATTATAATAAAAAAAAGTGTGCAGATTGTTTAACAAAAGTAAAATAAAATTATTCGTAGACTTCTGGTTGCAGGAATTATTGGATATGGGTTACAATAACATTGAAACAAATGATATATGCAATGTTTTCGATGATTTCATTTTACTTTAAAGTGTGCTTTTCTCATTTTAAAAAAATTGAACATTTCATGAAAAAAAAAATGTGTAACAGGAGGCATTAAAATATCAATTGCAAATATTTGTTTGTTTTTTTAAAATTATTTTTCTAAGTTTCATAAAGTATTTCATGATATTCACCTCTACTTCCCAAACTTCAAATCATTGTTAAGAAAAGTCATAAGTCAGGCTAAATTTGTGAAACCTGATAAGAATATTTTGAATCCAATTAGAAACCAAAACCATTATGAAGTATAGTGAAAAGTTTTACATCACCTAGAAACATTGCAGAGAATACCTCTTAAGTTCACAACCACACAATTAAGTCTAGAAATAGTTAGTAGTTGCAGTGAATAGTTATTAAATTAAAATCTAATTTGTCAATGTTTCAGAACATTTGAGAGGAAATATTATAAGGTGTCTGGTCCAGGATGTTGAGGTTGATAGTATTAACCCTTTATTGGTCTATAAAATGTTTCAAATATCTAGCAAAGGCATATGCAAGAGATACACCATTGTTCATTGATTAAGATGAATACTGCAGAAATTTGATGGATTCCTAATCATATCTTTTAGGAATATAACTTCGAAAGTTTTTGCATTTGCAACGATTGAACTACCCAAATTTGAGCAAAAATCTTTAAAATCTCTCCTAGATAGGAATTTACATTTACTCCTTTAAAAATGGCAAGTAATCTAAATTTGAATTTTACATTTTATTCTCTGTATGAGCCTTATTTTTGACAATAATTGATGTTTTGAATTCACCGTACTGCACTGTATTTTTTGATTTGCTAATCATCTTTTATACGCAAGACTAGATTCATGAATGAAGGTAACAATAGATAAAGTTTATATCATCAACATATAGAATATCTTCTGGAGAAATATATGAAAGAAGCTGTCTGAGGCAATAAATTTTTCTCAATCTTCTGCGATGAAGGCATATACCCAATCTCTGCATTATAATCAATATCCAGTGAGTGGTATCATGAATATTTCTCTGTATTGTTAATAAAGGACGATAAACATCTTCACATCATCATCTTTCGACTGAATGTTCACTATATTCTTAGTTCAAAGAGCTGTATTGTTATTATAAATGGAAATGCTACATTCATACTACCACACCAGGTTACATTTTAATGATTCTGGTCATCGAATAACATGAGCTTGTTTGTTGACATTTGAAAAAAAAAGTATCTCTTAATGGTCTGTTAATTTTCACAATGCTTGTCAGCAGAAGACTAGTTGATATTGCTTGTGTCAATTCTCTTGTTTTATCTGTCATGTTTGTAATGAACATTTATTTGCAGGAAGAAGTTGAATCCAGTTCAATCTCATGCTCAGTGAAGAGAGAAAATGATTCAGACGAAGTAAGTGCACTTATTTTCTTTTTTTAAATACACCATGTTGCAATGCAAACGTTTTGTAAAAGTTGCATGTCCTTTTTTGAAATGTATTGCCATTGTCAATAAAAATAATGACAAAATTCCTTCGTCTGCTCTGTTTTCATTATAATACTCTTAATTTAAATATTTGCTCAGTTCTATTTGATCTACCTTCTTATTCACATCAGTAAAATTATGAATTTATGCATGGTGCGTTGCTTTTCACAACTAATTGTTAATGCTTTCTCTGTTGTCTTTTGAGTATTTGTTTGGAGAAAATTTTGGATATTCGATTTCATTCTATTCATCTTGTCAAATAATAGCAATTGGTGTGTGGGAGCTGTAATCTCTCATATTCACTTGCGTTCCAGAATCTCTCCCTCTGCCTTTTATTACACATAGTTGAAAAACAAAAAAAAGTATGTATCAACAGTGTCACATTAGCACAACATTTGTAAAAATAACATCATATCATAACATAAAATCAACAACCAGTGTGTTTGTGGAGGGACAAGATATTTGATCTCGAAATGTAAAAGTGTTTGGCCCTGACTGGTTGTGAACTTCTTCTGTGTGATAATGAGGTCTTCTGATGATATGATGTTTTTCTAGTGATCAGACTAATATGTAAACACTGAAATGTGTTGTTAATAATGGAATGGAGGTTCATTTGTGGAGTTTGAATTGTGGTTTCATATGTTGCAAAATGTAGACTTTGTGTACAAGCGCTGCGTTCTCTTGGAACTGTTTCCTCAGTGTAGGGCCGCCAGATGCCAGTTTTTAAGATGATGACATATTGTCAATGGAGAGAAGAATCGTGTTTTAAAAAAAAAGTGCTATTATATAATATCCTAACATGGACATGATAGTTTAATCATATTCATCATTTGCACAAAAATTGTGTTCACTTTTACATATACTTTTCATTGAACTTACTTTCCCGAGCAATTCTGGGTTAGAAAACAGGTAATTATGGAAGTCTGGTCAATAATATTGATAAACAGGGCTCAGAGTCAGGATGTAAAAATTCTTTGAAAATGACTCGTAAAATGATAAAATAGATTAAAATATCTAAGAAAACTTAAAAATAAGTGGATAAATACCAAAATTTTGTTTAAATTCTCAAAAATGTTAATGAAAATATTTATTTGTTCAATGAATTTTACAATTTCTAATAAAATTAATTCATATACAAATATGTTTCGTATAAATTCTTCATTTTGGGAGGAAATTAAATGCTCATCTCTGATCTTACAACCGTCGGTTATGGAAAAGAAAAACTTGTTTCCAAAATTCTTTTTTTGGAATGGGATTGTAAAGAAGTTCTTTAGACAAATAGATTCAACATCCACATCTGAGGTGTCAGCTCCTTGTTGAATGTAGTTGTAGTTATTCATGACACTGCAGGGCAACCTACACAAATCACTGCCTTGTTAACCTTCTTCTTTAGTTGAGAGTACATATTGCTTCTTTCATCTTTCCTAGACATCTGCTTCCCCCCAGACATTTCATTCCAATTGCCACTACTAAAGTGATAGGCAGAGAAGACAAGTGTAATTTATCTACTTTTTCATTCTATTTTCTAGGTTCCACTGTGTTATAATCAGTTAATTTGAAACGTAACAGCAATCACGGCCTCTGTAACAAACATAAGAATTAACTGGGCCTAGTTCGGTAAGCGAAGCTTCATAACCGTGCACAGTCCGCTTACGACTTGGTGAACAGTTGTACTCTGGTTTTCCGTGTGGTTGTGTGGGTCAGGATTGTTAAGTTGCTGCCTTTGGTTCTCGGCTGAGGATGATATTTGTTTACTTCGGGAAGTGTTGGCTTCCGATCCATTTGTCTCCAATTGGAGCTGTCGAAAGGGCTTCAGAAAATAAAGAGCGAAGAAAATAGGCAAACTACTAACATTGATAATAGAAAACAATTTTGAAAGAATAAAATATATTTTTCCTTTGTTAATATTTTGGTTAGTGAATTATTTATGTTTCCCCTTCCTAGTTTTACAGCCTTCACATTTCTAACCCTGATTAATTACGTGATTAAAGTGAACGTGAACGTAGATTAATTTGTTTTCAATGTACATATTTTAGAATTTTTTTATCTTACAAAATCTGTGTATTGGGATTAACTCTATTGCCTCAATGGAAAGGGAAAACTGTCCAAATGCAACATTTGAGGTTTCTTATATTCTGTGTTATCGGAAACGAATTGCAACTGTTTAATTTAATGTGATCTTTAACAAGATTTTAAAAAGTTATTCATGAAGATAAGAAACAATATTTAGATATTTGCTTTCCATGTACTCATTTAAAAGTAACAAATAGTTATTTTCAATTTAAGTCAATTAGTCCCAATCATCTTTTTATATATTATGCCTACTTGTAATTTGTAGCTGTAATTGCTAGTACACTATAAAGCAAACTGATCATGGGCAAATGAGGTTTGTGGTCGTTTACAACATGAATTGGAGAAAACTTTCTAAAAAATTCAATAAGTAACCCTGACCCTTCATAATTTTGTTTAGATGTGTCTCTTACAGTTGATATTAGTTGAATTTTAAAATGTTTGCCTTTCGGCCTCCTTGTTTTGATCGCTGCCATTATGGGAAACAAAACTAGTAGAGAAGTAATGCATTCTTATATTTTATTACCCAAATAAAGAACAATAGACAGTAAGTGTAATGAATAGTAATATTATATCGAAGGATATATCAGCTTAAAAGATCAGGCAAAAACCACGTTCCATATGTAGTAGGCACTGTCGCCTTTCCTAGACTCTCAAGTGTCTCCCCCTTGTGTAGCATCTGTTCGCGAAACATTTCTCTCCGTAACGTAACGATGGGTAGTTGAATAAAGTAATTAAAAGGTGATTGTCAATAAAAAGATATGGCCTTAATGTGTTTGTTATGTTTTTGTTGCTCTTGTGTTGATACAGAGGAGGTTGTTTTCATATTGTTGTTTCCTGTGCAGGAGGAGTTGGAGCGTCCAATTTCCGTGTTTGTTGGACCGAATGAGGACCAGGAGAGAGTTTTCAGAGGCGAAGAGAAGGTAAGAACAGCTGACTATGGAAGGTCTCTTACATTCCATGATCCTTTTAGAGTTGTACCATTGTCCTGGCACGTAAATCATGTCGGTCCATGTATTTGAGATTAAACATCCCAGACAAACAAATATAGTGATACAGAACTTCACTATCGAAGAAGAATCCAACTTCCAATATTTAGGATGCAACGTAACGTATCTTAGTGACATCGGCTATGTGGAATTCAATCGCTTTGGGGAGGAGGATTCTTGTGGCCGGTTGCTCTGATCGGTAGTTTTCCGTGGTTTCTCCTATCAGCACCAGGTGATTGCTGGATCAGTACCCTTACAAACAGGCCACTGACCGCGCACAGTATTTCCTACCTCTTCCTTGTCGTATCCTCATCGATTACTCACTTATACACACACTATAATGCACTACACTAACACACTTGCAGGGAGACCTATCGGAAGCTTAGAGCTTTTCCCGGCTAAGGATGTATCTCGCTGGTGGGAGATACCTGGTTGGGGAAAACCACCCTAGTATACGGTAGGTCGGCGCCGGATTTTGCCATCCTCACAAACAAAACAACCGCCACATCTCCAGGAAAACATGCACTACACTTACGGGACTAATGACTTGACGCGCCAGAAATCGCGAACAATCTTAATGACGAAGATGTTCAGAAAATCGTGACTCAGCGGCTTTGTAGTGCTCTGGGGGCCCAGTGGCGAAGTCGCTTGTCTTTCACCACTGTGGTTCTGGGTTCGATTCTCGTAGAATCACCGTAAAACCTCATGTGGAATTTGCTACGAGAAAACTAGTTTGCCTGCTTAACTACAACTGGTCCAACTCTTGTGAAGCGTCCTAAAGCTTACCCTTATCCTTATCCTTATTCCTTTCTAATTCCGGCCGATGGGAAGCAGGGCGCGTGCGAGACACGAGCGCGAAGACGCTACCTGTCAGCGATTCTCTGACTCGACTACGACTGACGTGACTTGACAACACAACGACCCCTAGAGTTCGCTTATTAACGGAGGATTACTCCAGTTCGCTCAACTCTCCTTAAGGTGTTAGACAAGTTGCGTCGGGATAGACGCAACAAATTTCAATAAAAATCTAAATTTCAGGGAATCTTTGACAGTAGGGTTAATCGGCGAGAACTGGGACAATGATGCATTAAAAATTTCATCAAAGCACGTCGCGATGACATCATAGTTGTCCCAGAACTTTCCACAATGTAATTTTAATGGGGAGTGACGTAGGTCATGGCACTGATAACAATGATTTTTTTTACGACATTGCAACCGAAAAGCAAGACAATATTAAAGCATACTTTGCAGCCAGTCGTCATAAGCATACGGATGTACTGTACTTGTGTCAAACATACTAAAATCCCAAAACAACTTATTCGGGACAATGCGAATATGATTGTGATTTTCCCTTCAAGATGACAATAACTTGGAGTATATCTACAGGGATCATGTTGGAAAAGATTGTAAATCTTTCACGGATTTTAAAAAGGTGTGCTCCGATACATGGAACGATCATCCTTTTGCCTTCATGATGATTGATAAGTCTAGTCCTGGGAACAAAGGGAGGTATTGCTTGGGTTTGTATCAATTTCTCATTGTGCAGGAGTAACAAACAAAAAAAACAACATAATCAACATCCTTCTCTTCGGCCGCTTCACTCGCGCAATGGTCGAGTGTCATACTACAGCGGCGGTTTTTCACCAACGCCGTCGCGGAAGAGGTTTTTCTGTGGGGCGCTTGATCAATCGAGCTATCGGCGCCCTTCCGTTTGAGCTTCATATTCCCGGTGGATATCAGACTACAACAGCGACTAGCGAGCGGTGATGTTAGTATCAATCCCTTGGTTCAGGCGTGTCAGACGCATGATATTGCGTATCATGAGCACAAGAGTGGAGAACTCAAGAAAGCGGACGAGGTGCTCGCTAAGAGCGCGTTGGAGCGTGTCACCTCCACAGATGCGAGCCTCAGGAAACTGGCAGCAGCGCTCGGTGTGCCGGGAGTGATGAAGCTAAAATCTAAAATAGGCGGGGGCCTTAGGAATGTTAGTATCGTGTTAGTAAGTTACGTGTTGTTAGCGAAAGTGAAAGCACGACACAAAGTAAGAGGGCCAAGCGAAGGAAGGAATTCGGAAGAGGTCTACAACAATATGCAACAATTGGAGGAAAGGATGTAAAGTCACTCAGTGCAAATATCAAAGTCAAGACCAGTGTCCGCGAGAAGTCGAGACAGTACGGCGAGCAGACGATGACAGCTCGTGCTCTGAGGCAGCGCGCTTATCGCTCCGCCCCCTCCTCTTCGGAAAGATACCCCGGAGGAAAGATTAAATGCTGAAGTTGAGAAAGCGCGAACTAATGTTCGCAATAAATGCCCTCCGTCACCACGAAACAGTGTGAACGTTTCCTCAAAGAGTATGTCACAAAACCCGTTCATGAAGCAATGCAATCAGATAAACCTACCACTCGTATCAGCGATGCACACACGAAAAATCAATACGCCGATATCGGTGTAAACACGTCTTTTCCCAAATCTTTCTCCCCAAAAAGGATGAGACAGAAGACATTTTTGCTACATCATCGTGGTCTCTTCCGGAAAAAGGGACCTGCAGGGCAAACTAAAGAAGAAGATGATTCCGAAGAAGCTATCCCATTTGGAGCTGAAGGGGATAGGTTATGGAGAGAGATTGCTAACTGCGTGGGAGAAGAAAAGTGATACAGCTTACGGTCCTTCTTTCATTGCCAATACACTTTGTTGGTAACAAAGAGATGGATATAAACGATGACGGTACATTTACTATAGCAGACCGGGTCTATGATCCTACACCGGGTCTTCTCGAGTTACTATGCGAAAAGAAACTCAAAATACCATCATTCCGCCGACGATATGGCAAATTATAAACAAATTCTAAATGATACGTCAGCACATAAAATGTACTATAAACACGGTGCACAATACGAAACGACAAAGAATGGATGGAAGTATCGTTTTTTATTGCACCACTGTTTCCGAGAAGAATCAACCCGAAACGTCAATTACAAGGGACAGGTCTGCGTTTCGCGACGGCGCCCGACTATAAGTATTTGCGTGATCCCAAAACACTCGTTGACAAACTACGCCTGCTGCGAGCCTCCAAAGACGCCGGTAACAATGGTCACGATAGTGAATTAGTAGAAATAGAGCACGAACTCCGCTCTGCTGGTATTATCATCTAGTCACTGTCACCTTGCAGAGGTGCCCGCCACCTGTCAACAAAGTGTCGCCTGTGCGTCTAGGTGTAGCGAAAGAACTACACGCTCCCGCTCGGCGCCATTACACCAGACGGAAGGTGATAACGAATGGACTCGACGACTTATGGAAAGCGGATTTGGTCGACCTGCTGCCTTATGCGTCAGCCAATCGCGGTATGCGGTACATCTTAACGGTAATTGATGTGTATTCCAAGGTCGCGTGGGCCGAACCCCTCAAAAAGAATCTATTCACCATCATTCCACCTATTCGAAATCTAAGGCGGTAATCGTCGAGCGTTTCAATCGCTCACTGAAAGAGCGCGTGTGGCGGCGCTTCTCCGCCGAAAGCAACCGCCAATGGTCACTCGTGCTCCCCGGCCTGCTTCACGATTCCAATTACACACTGCATAGAACAATGGGTATCAAACAGAAAGACGTAAAGGACAACATGTTACTACGCACTGTCTGCGCCAAAGTAAAAACGGTTGATATGCACCAATTAATGCGTCGCTTCCGTGTTGGAAACTTCGTGTGAGCACGCCCAAAAGCTCACCGTTTCGGAAAGCTTATGAAGAGCGCTGCGGTCCTTAACTCTTCAAAATTGTGCGCGTGCATCTTTGAAATCGGCCAAACGTGCAATGTTTACAAGTACGAAGTACAGATTTCACCACAGCCGCCGCCTCTGTGATAAATATGATATAATGAAAAATAATTATTGATTGATTGATTGATGCATAGATATTGTGTAATTATAATCTTGCGTCTTTGATTGCATAATAATTGTATTCATTTCTTAGTTACGTTATATGCAGTTTATCGTAAATGTATTACAAAACTATAATAGATCTATTTAGATAGATTTTAAATTAAAAATTGGAGTTTAATGTATAAATTTCGATAAAGAAATTGATCTGTGAGGCCCCAAAAATAGTTTCTGCTTAGAGTCCCGCAGGCTGGTAATGCGGCCGTGCTCACTGCTTTGACCTTTGATAACTACCGAAGTTTACTAGCGCTGACGGTTGCCACCGAGAGACACTTGTTTCAACGCAGTCGCTGCTAACAATGCGTGTGTGTTTCAAACGAACGGTCTTGCTGGGGACGCAAACGTTTGTGGGAAATCTCGGCGTCTTGTATTTCATTTGCGTGATGGTACAGCTGGCCTGAAGTGATCATGAACGTCTTTTTTCTTTTGTTCCAGGATCCTCTTTCGTTCTGTGAAGAAGCTTTCATCAAACAGGAGGAAGCTTCATGTTCCTCAGGTGAGTGTGATATAGACATGTGCCAAATGAAACAAGAGCGGAGAATTACATTTCTGGACTCAGGAATCGAAATTTCAGTCAAAATGTTTGAAATGCGTTTTGGGTGATTGTTAACACATTAGTGCCGGAGCAGACAGTAGACACTTTCTCGCCGAGGTGGGCGCTCCGTGGTGTTAAAATCGATTATGGGGGCTGTTGAGGCTGCGAAATACTGCTTAGATGAATTGGGAGAGTATTAGCCGAAACTGCAACGAACATCGCATTCTTCGTTCTCATCAGACGAGAGAGTTCTGAAAAAACTGCACATAATTGACAAACATGATTACTCGAAGCTTCGAAAGAATCAATGAGTATTGAATTGTCATGGTTACCTCTGTCTGGACGAAAATAAACGATCTTACCAATGTCTCGCTTGGTGCTTATGCACGCGATTTGGAGTCTGACGTCTCGGAGACTGCAGAAATGTGCTGGGAATTGCTTGCCCACGTACCGAGTCAAATTTCCCAAGCGCGCATCACACGTTTCACTTAGGACGAGATCTAGGACCGCGGTTTCTTCGTTTCTTCCATGAAAACCCCAGTTTCTCTTGATAAGTTGCGGCTTTGTCGACGTTTCGAGCCGCGGAACAGTGTGCTTGTTAGTAAGTTGTGTTAATGTTTTCGTAGTGACGCGTTGTCGCTCGATTTTGTACAATTTTTTAACATTGTGTTTCTTTTCTTTAGGAAGACGAGCGATCATTTTTTCTATTTTTTTCGTTTCATTCATTCGTGACAGGCCTCGAAATCAAGAAAATTCTTTTAAATCGTCACGTTCACGAAAAGCGTGATAATCGTGTAGATCGAGAAGCGCAAGTGTCTTCTCCACAGCGTCAGGATAGTACAATAAATTTCTTTTCATAGTAGTGTGTGTATGTAGTGATGCTTTGAATTATCATTCATGCTTTTGTGTGTGTTTTGATTGTTTCTATAGGTCAAACGTATCAACATCATCAACAAGGCAGATCTTGTATTGCAAACGCTCTCCAGTGGACGGACGTCGCGCAGTCTTTAAACAGCCGTGTAGTTGGTGGTGTCATTTCGAATCCTCCTCCCCCACACGACAGCGCGGGTCCGGTCGAGTTTCTCAACCGATGTCGTGTTTACCTCCATTTCTTTGAAGAGCTCAACAATACTCTCGATCGACATAGTTTCAAAATTTTCGCCCAATTCGAGTGTCAGTTTTTAATTGAGAAAGAGAACGCCGAGACGCACGAAATCGTAGGGGTGCTGCAGCCCATCTTTCTTTCGGCACGGACTGCGGTGTTGTCCCGAGGTGATGACATTTCGAAATTTTTCCTTTCTCACATCGCGCATTTTCCGAGAGAGAATCAGGAAAATCGTGGGCCTACTATCGTCGCTCTTTAGGTTTCGGCTCACTTGTTCGGACTTATTGCCTCTTATTTTATTCCTCTTCTGGCAACCATTGCGAGACTTCACGCTGTGATGAACGTGCATAATCGAGACGAGAAATGTTTCCTGTGGGCGCGGGCTTCGGCTCTTTTTCATACACGCCAGTGTATGACGTCCCACGCCAAAATTTTGCATTCCGATCGTACCGGTACCTACCACACCCTTTTCGATCTAGTGGAAAACAGTTTCGATTTGCACGACATCTCCTGGCCCCTGCCCGTTCACGAGATAAGACGTTTCGAACGTCAAAATTCAAGTTTTTCGTTTACCGATTTGACGTTAGAGTTTGAGTCAGCCAACAAATCTTGGAAAATCCTGTGCACTTTTCGGTAACGAAGAAAGAGGACTATTTCAATTTCTTGCTGATTCATGGCAATGGCGGACAGTCCCATTACGTTCGGATTAAGAATTTAGGCAAAATGGTTCAATCTCAACATTCATCTCAAAGGGTATAATTTTTGGATGCGACAGATGTTTGAATGTGTGTTACTCGCAAACTCATCTCGAGGTTCACGAAGTCGATTGCAGATCCGTGGGGTTTGATCCTTTGATCCTTCCGTCGGAGACGAGCGAACAGAAGGAGCGCTTAATTGCAATTTCGACATGTCGAAAGACAGGAACGATGTCCGATTGCCGTTTACGTTGATGTCGAAGCGCTCACGCTCCCGTGTCTCCGTGTGAGCCGTCGAGCGGATCCTACCTTCAACCGTACCTAATTCACGAACCATTTTCAACGGCGCTTTAAGTGGGGTGCTCTTTTGATGAGTCGCGGAATCAGATGGTCACCTTTCACGGTTCGGACGTCGCGATACAATTATTAGCGTTCTTAGAAGGTTTCGCGATAGATTACGAACATCTGTTGAGTCATCCTTCTCCCTTCGTGATGGAGGACGAGGACGGTGTCTTTTCAAAATTCCGAAGTATGCCACAGTTTCCCACCACATTTAATACGGGTCGGAAGGTGTCGGTAAAAGGAGACCTCCTGAACCGGAAGAATTTATTCTAACAGTGCACGCTGAAGTTTTAGCAGTCCTCGAAGCACTCGGCCACCCCCTGCAAGATCCGTACGGTGAAGCACTGCGACAGCGAGTCTCTCGCGGCCCTCAAGTCATCCAGTCTCTTTGTTGCCCGTTCGAAAATACGCCTCAGCGTACTTTCCAGCACATAGTGACAGTGACTGTTTTGATACGTCATCTCTTCATGTCCAGCTGACGAATGACCCATTACGTCAGCGCAATCTCGAGTTGGATCTTGTCATACGATTCATCAACGACGGTTGTTCTCTTCTCGAACTCGATCGCTCTCTGCAGCTTCTACTCATCGACTTGCTAGTACATTGGGCCGCGAAGGACGTGCTTTCTGTCTTCCACCGCCTGTCGAAAGGCGTGCAGCGGGTCCGAGGCATTCGTCGACTTCTGCTTTTTCTTCGTTACAACAACGGGCGCGCGCACATCGACAACAAACCGCCGGTGCCGAAGTGGAAGTGTTTGCAGTTTAGGCGCGAAGTACTGCCATGCTTCTTACACGCACACATCGAGTCGACGCCGCCGCCGGAGTGGAAGTGCATCGAGAGTCGCTGAGAGCTCGTTTTTTTGAGTATTCACACTAGTCATTGTTGCCGTGAGTACGCGCATCGAGATATATTTTAAGATGCTCCCGCGTACGGGTTTGACGCCTTCAACCTGGCCGTCCAAGCCGGCAACACTGCCATGCTGCTTGTGCTGTATGTGGTGGTGCAAAGTTTGTTGACATGCGTGATCGAGGACTGACGCTGCTGGAACACGCGGTACATTCCGACACGGCGCTGACGGACGCTGACTATCTTCAACGGGATTACTCTTAGCGAACACGTTCAAATCAGCCAAAATTGTGAATCACTCACACGTCATCGTCTAAGAAAGGAGTGTATAGAATCAGAAAAGGATTTTGAAAGAATTCACAAAGGAATATTTTGAAAAGAATTCGGGGGAAAATTCTGAATTCAACATTTAAGAAAAATGTCTTTAGAATCAGTAAATGACATTTGTATTCTTGTGTGTGCTTTCTAAAACACTTGAATCTTTGCTCTGTATTTTTTGTTTGATTTGTAATTCTCGAAATTTTATTATAATCATATAGACGCCTTTCATAGACGTGTAAGAGACACGCTACAAGTGCTGATAGGATATGATTATATTAAATTTTGAGCATAAAACATTCTTAAACCCGTTACTGGTTTCGCTGTTGAAAATAAATAAGGAAAATACTTCCGCACTTACAAAATCGACAAGATTTTTAATGGTCTCACGGTAACATGAATGAAAGTCACAGGAGATTGCCCCACGAACGACATGAAAATAGGGATCGTCAACGCCTAACAAGTCTGGGGAGAGAGAGATCGCCAGAGGAACGCAAGGAAGATTGCCGAAAAATCAAGAAAACTGAAATCGCAGATTCAGGTCATCGGAGGATAAACCCCAAAACATGAAATAGAGCCAATTATAAGCCACTTCCGGTCCCCTGGTTCTGTGATTCTGGTCTAATTAAACAGAAGACTCATGGATGTATCCGTGAGACCTATCAAAACAATCTACATCAGATATCACAATCTACATTATCAATTATGTAAGTGCGGGAGGATTGTATTTTTCTCCTGTTTTTCCAGAACTGAAACCAGTAACATGTTTTAAGAATATTTTATCGTCAGAGTTTAATATAATCATATCCTATCAGCGCTTGTAGTGTCTCTTTCACGTCTATATAAAAAGTTTTTATAATGACATTTAAATTCTGACGATAAAATATTCTGAATGTTACGTGTGTGTACTTTTTTCCATCCTTTATTCATGTCAAATCATAAAACTGAATAAAAGTGTTGTAATAATAACCCCCAGTTGTACTGTTTTTCATTTGTTTTTTCCTGTCACCGCCTGGTAGGGTTTCCTTTTTTTCCTTATGAGTCTTTGGCGGGGGAGGGGAGCTAGCGTCAGCGCTTGCAGCTCGAGAGAGACCCTCAACGAGGCACCTCCGCCGGCGCTGCCGCCGTAGCTCATAGCCAGAGCGCTGGCCACCCCCCTCTCGCACGCAGGAAACGGGGCTCAGTTGTGTTCCAATCCACCTCACGCAGACGCCGGTTTTTGAATCACACACCGCACCCCAGCCTCACACAAGGGCATGCGGGTCCGGGAACAGGAAGTGGAAGTTCCTAGTACAGGACCCGCATATTCCCCTTACTGGTATTAAAACTGTCAGTGAAAAATAATAGACAAAATTTACAATTTCATTAATTAAAATATAAATAAACTATTAAACAATTGGATCTTCTTTGTTAATTTGCCCATAAATGCAGTGCAGATCTATTTTTTCTGAAAAAGTACAAAGAAGAATACATGTGAATATGGAAAGAATATGTTATTTGCTATACATACTTTAATTTCAACTATATTTCCAGTTTTCCATATTTAACACCCCTTTTCTAATGACTTCTAATGGTATAACAAGACGTCCACTGTCATCTACATTCTCTTGATCACTTGTAGTGCCTTCTCCTAAATTGATGATAATGGGTTCCTCATTCATGCCGTCCCATTTCATATAGGAGTACACTCTGGCTCTGGAGGTAAGGGCGAAGTACATATTTATTAGCAATGCACAAAAATCGTATCTGCTATTCGTTTACCGATGCAAATGTTTTCTACAACTCGGGAACGAAAATGTGTATTTTTTTCAAATATTGCTTATCTTGTGCTTTTTTAAATTCCTTTATATTTTAAACGTGTAATAATGTTTCAAATGTTTATAGTTAAAATGATATGAAGGGATTCTTGAACTCAAGAAAACGAGCGCAGATCACTCGTAACATTCAGTTTGTTTTGTTTTTATTGAATAAATGTAGAGCTCCCATACTCTGACTTCCCACATCGCGCTGCAAAAATAATTGACGTGAATGTTTTTATTACTCGGGCAACTTTTCTTGAACGATGGATAGACGATTTCGGGTGGAGTGGGGGTATTAGTTACAAAGTCGGCCACTAGAGTATTTTAAGTAATGCCAACGTCTGAAATGAATGTAAAAACTGAATCTTGTGCTTAACTTTTTCGGAAGTTTTTGGTGACTCCCTTGACGGAACTGGACTTCACTCAGCGATTTCTTTCGATATTGACACTAAATCAGAACAGGAGTTCTGCACTATGAAAGCAACTGGCTTTGACTAGCTTCTGTTTTGCGCCAACGAAGTTTTAATGCTTGGAAGGTTGTCATCAGTGCCCGCTGCGAGCTTTTGCCTTCAACTGTTTATTGCACAAGGGAGGGGGATCAAGGTCATCGTTCTAGAAAAGTTGCGCGAGTAATATTGGCTAAACCTTTACTGTACGCAATAGAGTTGCTTTTTTACGTGATGCAATACGTACAAAAACCCTAAATATTCAATTTCTGGTTAGAGAATGACTTCCCGGGTGAATCACTGGATTTCTCGCCGCGTCGAGGGAACGTGCTTGAGCAGACGCGCGGATCTCCGCATCACTTCCACGCAAATTCGAAATTTGATGTTCTTTTTCACAGAAAATTCTTTGAGTTTTCGAACACTTCATTCGATGTCATTTGAATCACTGTAACTCTCAAAGACAATAATACATACAAATTACTGAAAATGTGCATATTACCGGTGTGAGGGATCTTTAAAAAATATTGCATTGATGAAATTTGTGGAAAAACAAAAAATACACCGAAATGAACTTAACCTCATATTAAAGAGTGCAATTAGCACTATACTTTCCAAAAGTTGGAAGAAAACAATTGGAGCCGTTTTTGAGAAAATGGCGTTTGAGCGTTTCTGAAATTGCGAAATTTTGAGCTAGTTTTGACAGAAACTTGTTGAGTTTTGGTAAAGCTGTATCTCACATTATTTAAAGCACATGTACTCAGAAACATAATAATGTGAAGAAATTGCAGCTAATGTAAATATTTACGTGAGAGGAAAGTCAAAACTTTTTTTGTAATCTTTGAAAAAATTAAAAGAATACAGCAATATGGCGTCTATGGGACCTTATAGAATACATTTAGCACTGTCCCTACGAAAAGTTTAAAAAAATTAAGTGCAGTTTTTGAGAAAATCTTATTTTTCTAATTATTAAAAATTGCACAAAATTCACGCAATGTTGCGCGAAAACTAAATTGTTCAAAAAGATGTACATGATCTTAATGAAAGATCTCACTACGGGGAATCTATGAAATAATTGAAAGAACTCACTATGAAAAAATCACTTTTTTGTACTTGGAGAAGAGGAAAAAATTCAAACTTCTAAATTCTCGAAAATTCAGAATTAACAATGAAAATCGGCTCTAGGCCACTTTTATCAGTGTATTGTTACCAGAAATTTAAAGAAAAATATTGGAGCCAATTTTTGGGAAAATTTGAAAGTGCCCATGCGGCTTCATGCAAAGCACTTTGTTGGTACATGGGCTGGAAAATTAATTCAAATTTGGCGCTGCGCATGGAACAGCTCAATTTCGCTGCTGTTTGAAGGCATTTTAGAAGAAAAGATCGCATATTTCAAACTTCTCGCAGCGTCTGATCTGGCTCAAAAACCGCGCGAATTCCTTCCCTATTGACCAAATACTCATTTTTTGTACAAGTTTCTTTGACATCGACTGTCAACAGCTTTCTGTAAGTTCGAAGAGTAAACAAAAGATCCCACCACTTTCAGAGCGGTCGCGACGAAAACTTTACTCATTGTCAGCTTTCTCGGAATCCAGTTTTTTCCACATCAGACGCGACGAGGTCGCATTGTTATGAAAATCAGAGGAGCCGCGAGCAGTTTCGTAGCGATCGTTCACGGGGGCTAAGAGAAATGTTTCGTCCGGACGGAGGTAACCACGACCATCGCTTCAATACTCATTGATTCTTTCGGCAAAGTAATAATCTTTGTCAATTATATGTCGTTTCTTTTCCAGAACTCACGTCTGATGAGAACATAGAGGGCGATGCTCGTGGCAGTTTCTAATGAAGCTCTTCCAATTCAGCAGATCGACAGGGTAATATACATTTCGGAAAAAATTGTACTTTAGGTTTTGGTGCTAGTAGTGTTCACAGACCAAGGGAAGAAACCCACTTTTTCAGTGTAAGGGGAGCCCAAAACTTGTATTTCCGTTGAAATGTTGAAATCGATTTCCGCCGCATTACATAACCAACTCTTCACGGAGTATATACGTACGTTTACGTAAAGTTAAAAGATTCACACTTTTATTTCCGGAGACAGGATACTTGCCATTACACCAGAAATTGATGTAGCTGTTGTGGGATAGTCAGGATCGGGTGACCAATTGGAAGTAATTTTGTTTGTGCAGGCGCGGAGGACGAGGAGAAGCCGAACGCTAGCGGGCAGCGGCGGAGGAGACCGCGGGAGAAGACTTGCGCTTCGCCCTCGGGGCAGCAGGTGCACGTGGGCCACCTGTCCTCCAAGAAGCGGCCTGCCGCCCTCACTTCCGAAGGTCTTCAACATCTCACGCACGTGCCCGCAGGAGACACGACGAAGTCAAAGCTCCTCATTCACAAACGCACTCATTCCGGAGAATGCCTGCACAGCTGCAGTGTGTGCGGTAGGGCCTTCAGCGCGAAATCAACCCTCGCCTCTCATATGCGCACGCACAAAGTAGAACGCCCGCATAGTTGCAGCGTGTGCGGTAAGGCGTTCAGGTATAAATCACACGTCACCACTCATATGCTCACACACACGGGAGAACGCCCGCACAGTTGCAATGTGTGCAGAAAGGCATTCAGCCAGAAATCAACTCTTGCCACTCATGTGCGCACGCACACGAAAGAACGCCCATACAGTTGCTGCGAATGCAGTAAGGCATTCAGCGATAGATCAAGTTTCTCCATTCACATGCGCAAGCACAGGGGAGAACGGCCACACTGTTGCAACGTGTGCAGTAAGACATTCAGCCAAAAAATACACCTCGCCACTCACATGCGCACGCACACGGGAGAACGCCCGCACAGTTGCAGCATGTGCGGTAAGGCATTCAGTGAGAAATCAACCCTCGCTTCTCATATGCGAACGCACACTGGAGAACGCCCGCACTGTTGCAGCATGTGCGGTAAGGCATTCAGCGAGAAATCAGCTCTTGTCTCTCATATGCGAACGCACACGGGAGAACGCCCGCATAGTTGCAGCGTGTGCGGTAAGACATTTAGCGATAAATCAAAAATCACCAGACATATGCGCACGCACACGGGAGAACGCCCGCACTGCTGCAGCGTGTGCGGTAGGACATTCATTGAGAAATCACGAATGACTAATCATATGCGCACACATACTGGAGACCGTCCACACAACTGTATCGTGTGCGGTAAGACATTCAGCGAAAAAAAAACTCTCCTTATTGACAACCGCACTCATACCGGAGAACGCCCGCACAGCTGCTGCGTGTGCGGTAAGGCCTTTAGCAAAAAAAGTACACTTCTCATTCACAACCGCACTCACACCGGAGAACGCACGCACAAATAGAGCTGCCATGGACAAAGGCATTACGCTTCGAGGAGTGCTATGTGTCAGTCACCAGTCAAGATTCGTCAGCGGTCGGATACCGTTAGTCGCAAGTGCGATTATTCCATGTGTCGTGTGCTCTGCAGCTTCTAGAGGAGATTCTTTTAATTTCTAAGCACTCTTCACTTTGCAGGGAGATCTAAGATTTTTGCAGCGATTTTGTATGTAAATGTACTTGGTTTCTGAAAATAAAAGTTTAGAGTTTTTACTATTAGAAATCATTTGTTGTTTTTTCCTTAACGGAATGTTGTAACAATTAATTTTAAGAACTTCCGACGTGATTGTTTCCAGGCTTCGAGAAACTTGCCGAGATTTCTTGTGAGAGGATTAACGATCATGTAATTATACTTCATTATGACATGCTTGTCCACAGCAACTGAAGTTTGTTGGATAATAAAGTACGCTGACTTGCTTCCAAAATACAGTATTATTTTTCCGTCGTGGAATTGTTAGGGGGATTAATACTTCAAAGTTCCGTGAATTTAATGTTTTTACCTGGATTTTGTTTTGTTTAATACAAAATTAGCGTTCGTGGGAAATTAATATTTTTTCGTAAGTTGTGAGATTTTTTGGCAACGTTTCATGACCACGATTTTTTAAATGTTTAATGGATTTTCTAACAAATTGTTCTAATTGGTCTAAAGTGGCTAAATTATTCGTTTTTTGCTTTCTCTAAAAAGCTACGTACTGAGTATTGAGCAAGTGCAGCAAAAATGCCGATATTTCGAAATAAAAACACGAATTCTGGGTCCCAGAAGCATATAAAGTGGATAAATGTTGTTTTTACATAAATATTATATTACGTCTAAGGCGGTGAGACACGTTCAACAGGAAGCCCCTAATTAATGGCATGCCATTTATTTAATTTTGTGATTATAATCAGAATTTTAGGAGTGAAAACATCCATTAAATAAGTTTTACAGGAGGTAGATTATCATTTTTTGCAATTTCATGACAATTTAAAATTTAAATTTTGGTATTTTCTTCGTAAATTATTATTATTATTAACATGTCCATTGCCTGACACAACCTATGAATTACATTACACCAATATATTTGTAGTATGAGTATGCAAATGTCATTTCCTAACTGTACCTCATTTTATCTATTATTTTTTAATGTACCTTGTCAAAATTTTACAATTTGTTTAAGCTCATTGTAAGATATTCTCATTGCTCATGTGGTCTTTGTCATGTTTACATAACATTCCATTCATGATCTGCCTTGGTTTTCATTATAATTGTACGTCAGATATGAAATCTCTTAATTCATTGTAATATTATTACTAACGGTGAGTTACTGTGTATGTGTATGGTGTATGCTTGTCCCACTTCAATCACGCGTGTCAATTTTGAATTTTGTTTGAAGAATGCATTTGTGAGCCGGGCCGGGAGTGCTATGGTCAGAGAGTATATATCTAGTGCTATGGTTATGGTATATATCTGGTGCCATCGAGTGCTATGGTTTGGAGCCGATATTCTTGAGGTCATTGATCTGCTGAACTGACTTGTATAATTGCTGATTGTAACAAATGAATCTATTTCATTTATATTCCGTAATGTGTGATTCAGTCATTTGTCTGTTGTTAGTAATTTAATTGAAATCACTGTTTTTGTATATATTTTTTTAAATCGAACTATTATTAATTAGGTGAATTGATTGGAAGCATTCATGCTCAACCTTTAATTTAAATTTAATTTTGAATCCTTAATTTTTTTGTTTATCCTTGTTCTCGCCTCAGAAAGTTTTCAAACGAGTTACCTTTCTCAGTTTTAAAGATTAGTGTTAAATATATGCTTGCTTGTATATAAATATATTGCTTGTAACTGCCCAGTTATTGCTGTCTTATGATTCTGTATAGATTGAACCAGTATTGTGTATAAGCATTTGAGAAAACTAAAATGAATTCTGATTGAATTAATGGTGTTACTTTAATAATATTCAATATCAATTTATGGATCGTTGCGTGATGAGAATTTTTACTGTAATGGGAAGTGATCCAGTTTTACATACATGGCTTATTACTACGCCTCGGTTCCTAACGTCTTCAAGGAGGAAGCACTTGCACATTTGTTGCGTCACAATGCGAGGAGAATTTTCTAGAAGCGGCAGGCGTTGAGACATGTTGGAGCTTTCCCACGTGGGCCTGCCCCGTATCTTACAAGCGGGCAAGGGGCGCTTGTGTTAGCCTGCGCTCTCTGTGGGTGGTTACATAAACCATTTGGAGCAGATACATACGATAAATTCGTTATTGTACAGAAACCTGATTATGCGTGCACTGTTTAAATTGAATTATATAAGTTATAATGAATTAGCTTTGCTTGCTCTAACAGTGCCTATGGAAACTGGAATGGATGAACATGTCCTTGAAGTGATCCGCCATTTTGGTAACGATGTCTGAACAGGACAGATTCTGCACATTGATGTTTGACGAGATGTCCTTGAAAAAACAAGACATCTGCAGTGATATAAAAGGTCTCATCGATGGATTTGTTTATCATGGTACCCAAGGGCACTTGAATAGTGTAGCGGATCAAGCTCATGTTTTCATGATTCAAGGCTTGCAGCGTCCCCACAAGCTGCCTGTGGCATTTTTTCTAAGCACGCTACGCCAGCCAATGTTGTAGCCAAACTTATAGTGGAAGTTATTGAGGCATTACAGTGATTTGGTTTTACTGTGCAAGTGGCCGCGAGTGCTCTGGCTCCCACTAACAGCGGTGCGCGTAAGAGTCTCATTCAACTGGGGAAAAGCATGTGTGCGAAAACATAGCCTAGAGATACCCTCCCTCCCTGCCCAAGTGCAGTTGAAACATCATTCTCGCGGGTGAGAGAGGTGTCTAGCTTTCCTCCGTTCTTGTGTGTGGGGGGACACAAGATCTTTGTGATACGTGATGTCGCCCATCTGTTCAAGAATTTGCGCAACACTTTTATGAAAGCGGCACATCTTGAATGGAAGGGGAAACTGACTGACTGATTTGATGAGACTGATTACTCAAATGGTTCTCACAAACGCGATGACTCTAGAAAAGAGGAAACACATGTGCCCCGTCAAACTCGAGTTTCACTCCAGACTGATTGTCCAAGACGGCTCTGAACCCTTTGAAGTTTGGCGGAAAATGAGTGGAAAACTCAAAAGTTTAAATTTTTGGACTTGGAGTAAAAACAATTCATGCCAATGGCTAAAGAGGTGACTTTCACTTATGGCGACCCCCTTTCCGCACAGCTTTAAAGCTGTTATGGGATGATGTAAACGACTCTCTCAATGGTCTTAACTCACGGACGGTAAACCAAGACGTGGAAAATTTATTTGCCATCATCCGACAGCATGGTGTAACCAACACCGTTCCCACTTGCTGTCTTTTTACAGCAGCTCTGAGAACAGCTGTGATAAGGCTTGTCGGCTCTCGTGTGAGAGGCAATTGTGAAGATGATTTTATATGATCTGAGGGATTTTGTGGGAAGGACTTTTTGCACACCTCCACCTAATGACCAGATGTTCTTGGAAACGGGTAGAGGAGGAAGATGACATGGACGGTGATGTTCTCCACATTGCCGATGATGGCCCAGCATCAGAAGATCCCACAGAAACACGATTATCTCGTCTAGAGTACATTGCAACGTGGTATGTTGCTGGGTATATCGGCAGACAATTGTTGGGAGCTTTAAAGAATCAGAGTTGCCATAAGTGTAAGAACTCCGTTTGAGAGAGCTTCATAAATATATTCAAAGTCGGGTGTTTGATCCTCAAAACCCATCTTTGATATACCCTTCTGAAGGTTTGACTAAGGTGATCTTTACTGCTGTTAGTGAGTTTGAAATGTTTTTTGTTGCACAGCAACAAATGCATTCCAAAATACGGAAGCAAGATGTTCATTGCTTGTCAACTAGCCTTGATTTTCGGTGGTTGTTGGACTGTGTCGTGCATGGGGAGAAACTTGTAGGAGTGATGCTGGATGTAACTACACGGATCCTTATTTGAGCCCAGTGCCGAAAAATTAATATCAATTTGTTAGATTAATGTATGTGTGTATATATATAGATATATATTTATATTGTGACGTACCTGGGAAGCGGTACTTTCACGACAATAAAATTATGCAAGGGACAGGTGCCTTT